AACCAGTGATTTTATACAATCTCCACATCTGTCCGATTCACATGGATTGCCTGAGGGAAAGCGATCTTGTTTGAAGAAGACCATTTACAGCGGTTACAAAGCGGCTAAACTCTGCGAAAGTCTATTGTTTCATTTGGCTATTCGATGGCATTACCAGGATGAGAGAAAAATCTAACACCCAGTGAAAATTCAAACTAAAAATTCATGCAAAAAGTGCATGGTCTGAGGCAAAAAACAAACAAAATGTAATCCGTCTGTCAATTTCTCCGGTATGCTCCACGCATTTGAACTTAACTTAGAACTCACAGAAGCACTTGGATGGGCAGCAGGCTAAAGCAGTGAAGGGCGCTATCGCAATATAGGGGGCTTGTGGCAGCAATGCATTCAAAACAGCGTATAACATGTCCTTTTTGTTGAAAACCGTACTAAACCATAGGCGGGGAGGAGAGGCTTCAGGGTAAGTGAGCCATTCTTACTTCCCTCGTTGCTTGTGCCCCTCCCAGGTTTAGCCCTGGGGCCGTATGCTATCCTCCCCGAAGGGTTAGGGGACGAAATCCCTTTAAATTTTCTCTGTCTTCCCAACTGGGATTGCCCTGATAAAGGGCCTACATTTAATGTATGTATGTAGGTTAAAGTAAACATGCACTGAAAATGAAGAAACTATATCGTTCAAAACAAATAAATTTAAAGGAAACTTTGGATCACCTAGCTTCGGGGAAGGATAGCATACGGCCCCTGGAGGATGCCCCGCATATTGCGATAGTGCCACAGTGAGCTTGCGAATCAGCTATTCATCTGTTCATATTATATGTACCATCTCAGACAGTATGCAACCATGTAAACTTGGTAAGGTTCTCTGTCGCGGAAGAGCTTCCATCTGCGGGATAGAGTTGTGTCAGAGGCGCCCCCTTGTCAACCACATTACCCCCATCATGAATTACTCTAGCAGCAGCATTCATCACTGGTCCATGAATGTTTCTAGAAAGAATTCTTTCAGCGAAAGAGTACGGACTGATGAGAATCGTCGACGATCCGACCAAATGCGCTTGGCTGGCAAATGGACATTCACTGGAGCATTACTTGATACGTCATCAGGTAAAACATCAAGCCTTTGTTCTTGCAGATTTGTCAGTCTTGTTTCTCTAACTGAGTTTAACTAATTATTGGATTTGGATTTTGACACACGGCAAGGAGACCAACGCAAATATCGCGAACAGGGGAATGCAGAATGATCGCGGACACGGAACCTGGCTCCAAACACCACATCATGGTTTCTGAATGCCTCAACCAAAGGCGACACCAGTTCGATGGATGCGGGACCCGCAATAGATCAAGGATGGATTGGAAGAAAGAATTCTCTTGGATAAGAGCAATCCATGTGTCTACCATAGCGGAAGTGACTTTGCGCGTTTGACTGAGATGTGCCGTCTACGGCTTCTCCGTCTGGAGGTGCAAAGCCTTGCTGATACATAAAATACAAGGAAACACTAAAAATAGAACACGGCTACTCCGCAGACACCACCGGAGCATCACGGCTTAGCAGTGTACTGTCTGTGCTTGTAAACGGGCCCCTACATTCTTGGCCGGGCAGGGGGATTGGCAGTGAAGACGTCCACATTGTGGGCTTCTTCTTCGAATCTCTTCTCTCTCCCTCCCTCCTATAGGGGTGTCTCAAGAGGATCAATATTATAAAAATTCTATAATATATTCTGCTTTAGGAAGACACAAACTGAATGCAAATGTTATTGGCTCTCTATCATGAGCATCAGGTAGTAGTATTACGGTAATCATACGATTACAGGACACGGTAGAATATCGTAGAAAGATGCGCTTGCTGAAGGTACGCATGTTGGACGGCTCAGTGAAGACGATACCGATCGACGAAAGCCATCCAGTCGGTCAACTGATGGTCGGGGTGTGCACAAAAATCGGAATTTCGAACTACGAGGAGTACAGCTTGGTAAGTGTCGTCGATTGCTTACAATATCACGTGACTTTGGTGATGCTAAAGTCACTTTATTCCAGGATACAGGGTAGCGGTAGAGCGGTGGGTAATGAATAGTATATGTATGGGGCTTTCCACAAAATGAAAAGCAAAAGAAACTACTAGAAGCCTCAAAAATGAAACTCCAATTGCGGTTGATCTTGAGACAGTGTACAAGCTCACGTTGAAGGAAGCGCGTCAAGGAAAGGAAGGAGATAGAATTGGGGCAAAAGAGACGCAGACTGTAGCCGGTATCTCTTTTGAGGCGTGCATTGCGGATGCGGCGCAGGCCGCCATAGAAGGAAACATAAAAACGAGGCAACGTGTTCGCTTGTGCACCAGTTAATATGTATGAGCGGGGAGCACTTGTACCGCTTGGGTAACAGCAATGTAACTTCTAGGAAAGGTGCAGGAATATGCGTAGTCTAAAGGATGGCCCTGATGAGGTGTTTCGGTCGCATGTGCATAATTTTCGCTCTCTAACCTTTGCAAACTTTCAACTCCTCACTGTTGTGCTGGTGTTTCATGGCTTGTTTTCGTATCTATGTTTTAGCGCAGGCAGCCGAAGCTCCCTCATGCTTTCGCTGATTTCTCTGCTTCCCTTGACCTGCTTAGAGAACTCTAATCAACTTTTAACCGAAATCTAATTTTTCTCCATCGAGTGATGTTCCAAAGCAGTACAGTCTTGTATCCTTGCTAATGGTGCTCAGTGCAGGGCATTGCCGCTTCGTTTGTAGCTGCCAGTTTTACTCCTGCGGCTCAGAATTACCAGTTAGGTTCTTGATTTCAACAATAAGGAATGGGATCCTGTGAAGTCTCAGAACAGTATTCTTAGTGGTATCAATTGTAGTAGTGATTTAGGTTCGCGAAATGGAGATGGACGGCCGTGGGTCAATGATGAATCTAAGAGAAGAGCGTTCTCGTTCAACTGATAGCGATCGGAAAGGAATGATGGGCACTTTGGGCAGAAAGAAGGAACAAAAACTGGAGCAGTTACGGTCAGTTTCTGAGGATTAGAGTATCCTTGAAGGGATTTTTGTCAGGCTTTAGCATCTCAAAGTAAATTGTAGTGGTAGTCTATCTCGCCTGTTTAGTCCTCGGGCTATCAGTGATATTTCAGAATAATTCCAGTGTTGAAGTTTGTTTCCCTAGCTCCATTTGGAGGGTTGAGGGAACGGGTTGGGAGCAAGGTCATCCAAGCCGTAAAAAGTTACCGATTTCAGATATACGACCACCCTCGTCCAATCCCATCCCCTTGCGCTATTCTACCACATTTTGAGTTACCAACATTTGCCCCGAATTCCCCCACCCGATAAATTTCTTCCTGAGCATTCTGTTGAAACTGCAGCTCCAGGGTCCACCCCTTCATCTGATCGCAGTCCGTGCAGCCTTCCATGACGGGGGTTTGTTCACTGGCCAAAAACCCAACCAGGGAGACTTTCGGCGGTTCAAGCTTTTTAGAACAGAGTTTGTGATTGAGCTGGTCCACTTGCAGTGAGGGCATACTAAATGGCAGGTGGTGAGTTGATTCGAGTGGTAACTGGTTGTATTTACCAGATTAGATGAAAGTATAATATTAGCAAGTGTTTTTCAATTGACCACTCCTGTGACCCCTACGAGAGGAAATTTTGCAACCGGTCAATTTCCGTTCTAGCTAGCATTATCAACATTACCGATTCATCCTTTGGGCAGCTCTAATAGGCCCTTTACTAAAGTGGCCGATTAGTTTTTGATTGGAGCGTCAGGGCCTTACACATCTCCAGTACGTCGCGTGCTGCATCTGCGGCCTTATTTGAAAATATATCCGGCTCTATGAAAGGTAAACCTATTTTTTCCTTCATCTTGTTTGGCTTCTCCGGTCAATTTGTAATTAATTGAAAATTCTCTGCACAAGCCGAGATTCACTCGAGAAGAGTTTGACTATTTATTTGGCTTTCTGCCTATGTAACGCAACTTTCCAGGCAACCATTCCGGTCGTAGGATCTATTGAGATGGGGTGGGGGATGAATGGCCCACGAGTAGCATCAAGCCTGTCGCGGCTCGAAGTGCGCGGTTAGTGCCGGCTAACCGGTCTCCGACAGGCAACATCTTGACGACTAGTCTTAGCATTTGGAACGAGATTTCACGTAGCGCACATACTCATGACACTCAACGTGATCCTATGGCGTAGCGCTCACTCCATCAAACCGCGGCGGTTAATGGAGGCCGTGGAGTAGGCAAGTTGTTCATTCGACTCGTCTCGCCCCGCCCCTTTCTTTTTCAATAGGAATTCTCGTTTTGGGCTTTCTTTTTTCCTTTCCATGCTTCTTTTCTCATTTTTGGTCAAATAGGCATCCACAGCTTCATTATTAACCGCTGTGACCCCCATAAATTCATCGGGGTGTGCTCCAAGTTGTTGGGGGGGGGGTCGTCCATCACTGTTGCAGAAGTAGGCCGCCTTGGGAGGGTGACTCGTAGTTCGAACAGTCTGTAGATGTGAGATACTGAGGGTGGGCGAGTGGAACGTAATCAGACTGACCATTTCCCCACTGGAGCTTTCCTTTAGGTTTTTCAACTGTTCTCTCGACTGCCAAACTTGGAACCTCCTCATAATTCACCATTAATCTATAATCGCTCCCAGACTTATACTACAACAACTTCCTTTCTTCTTTAGGAAATCTGTTGTTGTCATTTTTCTGCAAATTTGTTTCGAATAGAAGGAAGTTTATTCTTAGGAACACTTCATTCTGACGTCTTATTCGACTTTTCGTTCCCCTTTGCTACACGTCCGCTGAGAATGACCGATGAGAACCTTCGAGAAAACGACAGCCCCTCCCGTTCCCAATTGACGAAATCCTAACCTAATTGACCTTACTCTACGCAATGACTAAAGTAGATCCCCAACCTTAGTCTTCCTTCATAAAAACACACAATACGGAAGATACTATGAGCCCCCTCCTGTAAAGTTTTCCGTGCTATCATCCCTGCTCTTCCCTGCGCCCCCTCCTGTAGCACCTCACCTTACCAACTGCTTCTGCAACTGTTGACTGTTTCCTTCTTTCTTTTCTTCGTTCGCTCAACAAAGTCAGGACTTGCCAAAAATTTTTTAAGTTTGTGTTGAGTGAATTCACATACTAAAAATCAATTGCCGCCTTCTCTACAAATAGGATTTATTTCAAATTTTCAGGCAAAAACTGCATACCGATGAGGAATTGGCTTGGGTGGATCATGGAAAAACATTGAGAGAGCAGGGCATCGCTGAGGATGAGACATTGCTTCTGCGACGAAAGTACTTCTTCAGGTAAGAGTTCAACTCAAAGATGGATAACTACTATGCTCAAAAGTGAACAAATTAAGTTTTTATTTATTTAATTTTTCATTTCAATTTTTTTGATTATTCAATCTTAACTTTATAAAGTTTTTTGGGCCCCAATGTGACTCGGGAGGAGGGGGTACTCTGATAAAAGTCACTAGGGCTAAGCCTAAACAGCAGGGACGAACTCCGGAGAATACGAAAATTGCTTCCGTACACCGGAGTTCCTCTCCTCTTCAAAAGCTTAGTCCTAAAACGGAGCGTTTCCGTGATTTTGACGCGATGTTGCGAGGTGGCCCCCGAGCCACATTGCGCCATTGTTTGTATGAGAACGCATTTTCATCTGCTTTGTGACCATTAATAATCCCTTACCAACTAAAGTTTTCATCCCAGCAACCGTCCTTTGTGAAGCACCTCCCGCCACACACACGCGCGCTTTTTCCCTTACTATGCCCTCGCAACCCACATTAAGACCATTTTCCCCCATTCTCTGCCTGTTTGGAATCGACACGCAGACCTTTTGCCGCCCTCGCAACCATTCGATGCTCGCCCACTGGTACCGGAGCACCCACTTGGCGATGTTCATTTTTGTGCATCCTTGCCCACCACAAACTCGTTTAAATGTCAGCCCGGATCCCACAGGTAGTCTTGCAGGGATCCTAGGCTAGTCACAAAGCGCTCCATAGAAAATAGGCATTTATCACCTTTGAGATCCGCTTCAGTCCTACGCAGAAGGCGTTGCTATCTTGCTTAACGATATGTCACTTAACAATTGAAGCCGTTAGTCCCTTGCTATGCTGCGTTCAGTCCACGTTCTTCTATTCAGAGCACCGAGCTTACTTCTTTTTCATCTAGTTGGAGCTTTTGGGTTTTTCTCGGGCTAGTCCGGGATTACATTTCGACCTGCGGGAACGGCTCATTATACAACGCTCTTTTGTCCACCAGCTGGCGACCAATTCCTTCCGAGCCTTTTTCCGACTTCTCTCCTCCGTAGAACATCGCCATGCCTTTATCATAATGTTATGACCTTCCCAAGGGTGGGTCCCACTTCATTAGTGGCCCCGCACGTTTCGAACTGTTCTAAGTTCTGTGAAAATGTCTTTGACCCGCAAACCCTATCTTTTCCCTACGTTTCTGCGCGACGTTCAGGGGGAACCAAAAAGCGTAACCGCCGGCCGAATGAAATAAACCTGTGAACAGCCCAGTCCACCCATCGCAAAGAAAGAGCAGTCACTTCTAGTTGTTAAGTAAGCTGAGAATCATTCGTGCAGTCTTTATATAAAGCAAGTGCCGTAGACGCTGCGCGTCTCAGTGCTAACATCAGTACCTCGCAATGTGGCGCGTACGACAAGAAATGATTTACAGAGGATAGGCACTCATAGCAGTTATTCATTCTGGGATTCCGCGCGTGAATCCAGAATGCCTCAAGCGCTTTCCTAACGGAAATGTCAGTCTCGCATGCTAGGATTTTGCGCTTTACATCAAAGTTATTCCCGTGATGCTATTCTACTAAATGCTCTGGCCCGCACCTGCTGTTCATTTGCCCGCGCCTTTTTTCCGCGCAAGATCTCCCTTAAAGGCAAAGTTCGGGCTCAGACCCACTTAATGAGCCTTTACGGTGGCTAGAAGCGCTAGGTACGCAAGTGTAGAGGGTCGCGTCACTTCCCTACTTCGAAAACCGTTATTTAGACGCTAGGCGCTAAGAACTTTGACACGCTCCACCTGCTGCGACACGCTCCGCCCACCGCTCGATATCTTGTCTGCGTCGAATGTTGATCTGCTATGCTCTCTCTACTTAGACTTCTCTAGCGCTCTCCGCGCTCACATTATCTCTCATCTCCCTGCCGGCCTTTTGAACTTCTCCGCACCGTAGAGGAAATGGCTCGTATTTCCTAAGCATTTCACGATTTTTTTCTCTTTTCTGCACTGGCGGTCCACTACCTACCCCTACTTTCACATTTGAGTGGAATTACCTCATAATTCAATCCTGAATCTTGCCTTTAAAGGAATCTTCCACGGAAAAAGCTCCGCCTCCATTACCACAGAAAAACGATACCTTAGGCCCCTAGCCTCATGAGCATAGCAAAAAGAACGGAACATAAGCGTTAGTTTCGATAATACTAATCCTACACACAAGACAAAATGATCACTCTTTCCGTGGAAGATTCCTTTAAGGTATCGTTTTCTGTGGTAATGAGGGCGGAGCTTCCGTGAGCATTCCTTAACGCCGTATTTCTGAACCGCTCTCAGTTCTCGCCAATGTAATGGCCACGAAATACAACATTATAAATCTTTGAGGGCAGTTTTGTTGCTTAGATCACACTAAGGCAGAAGATCATTTCTTTATCATGTTAAAAAATGGATCCTTTTCCTTACAGGAGTCAGCTCAATTGCGAAAGCCCTCTTCATTGTCTTCTTTCCTTTTCACTTTGCGGAGCTCATTTTTTTTTACTTTTTCTTCATTGCCACGAAAAATGTTCCGGAGTACTTTAAGCTTGAATGGAGCCTAAAACATAACTTTTGAGTGTCATCCTCCGGCTAGTTTCGAAGGATAACTTTTGACATCTTTCCAGCAGTCGTTCCAGTCATCTAATTCATGAAAACTCCCCACGGTTCATTTTAGTCCTAGAGTGACTCTGGGCAGGGATTTTGATATATTCTTTGTAACTCCCCCTTTCTTAGATTTTTTAGGAGGCGAACGCTGCTTGTTGCTTTCGTTCGCCGTTCCCAGTCCATGCATTATTTTTTTCGATATATTCGAGTTTAATTTTTTTGTATTAGTACTTCTGATCTCCTATGTCAGAAAACATGTTAGGAGCATGACTTTTTGCATTTTTTTTACTCCTGAAGCCTTTAAAAATCGCCTTAATATCTTCCTTTTCCAGTGATACGAACGTTGACAGCCGTGATCCTGTGCAGTTGAACCTGTTGTATGTGCAGTGTCGTGATGGCGTTCTTCGCGTAAGTCCCAAGTTTTTCGGTTTCTTTCGTCAAGCTATTTGTTTTGTTTGAGCTTGCTTACTAGACGAGGGGGGGGACCAAAATCACATGAGGCACGTCCAAACTTCTCTTTGTCCACAAGAATTTGAAGGTTGTTTATTTTGTAAAACACCAAACCGTAACATTCTATTATTGTAAGGAAGTTTCTCAGAGTGGCTGCCATAAGTTGTAGTACAGGCCTCAGGGGCCTATCGCGCCAAACTCAATACGAGGCATCCCCTGACACTAGCCTATCGGGGGCCGGAGCTTTAGTAGAAAATGAATTACTTCTGCACCTTGGCTTCCCTCCCTCCCTAAGCTTAGTCCCGTTTTCTAGCGAGTGGAGCCGTTTCACGCGGTTTCAATCCGCACTAGGCCGTGATAACGCCGATGCCCCCCGCTCCCCTCTTCGTTTCTCATCGAGTGGAGGTGTAGCGGAGTTTCAATGATTACAATAAATTTGAATAATCAATAATTTATTCCAAATTTTAGACATTTTCCTGAAAGTCATCGAACTTTTTGCATTTCAATCCCTCAGTAGCTCTTCAATAAGCCCCAAAACAGGACGGTCCGGTTGTTAAGCAGGCCGCAAACCATCGCCAAAAAGAGCCGGTCTCAAAATTAGTTGTATTGGTACACGAGCCGAAGACATTCCTGAAGGAAGATCAAAATTGTTATAATTTTCTTTCCAGGGGAGCGCAGTATTCTTAAGAGTCTCTACTTGCTAATCCTCCCCATTGATTTTTACGCTTTTATCGGTAAAAACTTGTAAGAGCCTGCCCGAGCACTGAAACAACCCCAAATATCATTAAAGTTTTTAGACCAAATCATTTTCAAATCTTGATTACACATCGTTATTCTGAGAGCTGTCTGCAAGTTAAGGAGGTTTTGAGAATTTTTAGCCGCTTAGATGCTGACCATTTTTTGTAAAATCAACAAACGTCTTAGGATCACCGCAGCTTGAAAAAATCCCGTGACTTCTCCTATCCTCAAATCCGGTGCTGTGTGAACATTGGGAAGTTCCGTTCGTTTTTGACAATAACCCTTAGTCTCGAAGAGTCATCTATTTCTTCTCAGCTAACTGCCTTCCGCTGTTCACTTAATTAATGTGTGGTTCCCTATTGTTACTATCTCAGTTGAATTAATGTAGCGCACCTGAGCGTGCAATAAATAAACAAATAAATAAATAAACTCCAATTCTATGCCAGTCGTTACTACTTTTGAACAAATTTTGAAGAAGTTCCAAGTTCTGGCACTTTTCTTCAAGATATGACGGTTCTGGTCGTTCTTCTTCACGATAAATCTCTGCACCAGGTCGCCTCTTATTCTCTTGGTTTGCATCAAACCTGATCTTCCTCTTTCCATTGCTTCAAAGTTCTAGACCTGTCTTACGATAGAAAAGTTGGATCTCGAAGAATTGTTTGCGCCCCTTACGGGCTTTTTGATTTCGCGCTCTCACTACACACCATAATGCAGCAACAATATTTTGAATAGAAAAAATCGCGTAACTCTCTTACACAATTTTGACGGGTGCCACTCACATCATTTTTTCCTCTTTCGAACCTCCTGTACATGCAGGATAAAAAAAAAGGATAAAGCATTTGCCGTTGATCAATCCCTTTTTGGGATGGGATGCGGCACGCATTCTACTTCCATTTGTACATTCGTAGTGGCGTTTGAATGCGATGTGGCCTATACAATGACTTGCGGGGGCCAGCCGATGTACAAGTCAGTGTTTTTATCCTCCCAGACAAGTCTGGTACCAATTAACCGACCCCGGAGGGATGGAAGGCTTGGTTGGCCCGGGCGACTCACGACCCAGGATTTGATCCCCGGACCGCTCGCGTGGTAAGCGTGCCACTTGTCACTACACCACTAGGCTCATGACCGCACTTTTTCCTCTTCGGAGTCAATTAATTTGTCCTCAAATCCAAGAAGGACTCGTTATTGCTTTGCATAATCGTTGTAGATACCAATTGCCCGTTCATTCCTCCTCCCCCTCCTTCCCTCCCCGTCTACCGTTCCGTTGCAAGTTGGTGCTTGCGCACTTCAAAAACAAAAGGTTGAGCAGCACCAGGAACCATCTTTCTAAACCTCCACATCAACTAACTGGCTGCACCTCGAGGGGTCGAGCTAGCTAGCTAGTCAGGTCGTAATCAAAGGGGACCAGGAAGTTTCCAAGAGATCATGCGAATAGGCGGTGACCTCTGGTCCACTCATGGCTTTCCCTTTGTTAAGCAAGTTTCTAATAACATCTCGTTTTCCACGGCTCGTTGTTGTGCCACAGTCAGATGAAATGTGAGAATGATTTTTTATCTTCATTTCAACTATCGCCGATTTCAGAGCCTCCATCCAGTCACGAAAGAGATCGCATGCGAGCTGGGAGCGTTGCAGTGCCAAATCGAATACGGCGACTTCCCAGAAAATAAGCCAAAGTTCTATATCGAGTAAGTGTCTCATGTCCTTTTTAAACTATGTACCTCGAATGTAATTCGTTAACACTCACTTACGCCCAATTAGTGCTTCTGCTAGCACCTCAAAAGCGTCAGCTGGTTGCGGCAGATGTGAGGGCGACTATCTTAGCCGTTGATCGGGATTATTCAGGGTTGCAAAGATGACGGGTGAAGATGTGAGATAAAAGAACGCCGTCTAAATAAATTATGTCAATTTGTGATGTCAGCACAAGCTCCACACAAGGTCTAGCATTTGAAAGACTTTTTTAGAATTCAATCCAGGATTGTCTCTTTAGGAAGCAAGAATTCAATAAGTACTTAAGTAAGGTCTCGATACGAGCCCCCACCATCATCACTAGCCCAAGAGGAATCCGCAGTACGACCTTCCCACCATGAATGCCTCTACGCTATTTGATTCTGAGAGCCAGTTGAAGCAACCCGGCTTCACCAGATCTTCTGTCTGGGGGAAGGGGGGTGAGAGAAAATACATTTAATAAAATGACAAATCCACAAACTTTTTCAAATTTTCACCAAATTTATGAGAATTCCCGATTTTTTTAAGAAAATAAGTACTTAAAATTAAACAGTTCCTTAGCGTTCTACCTTTTGAAGAGTGTTATTTAAAATGTAATACGCCTTAAATTCCTGCTCTGTGATCTCAAAATTCATATTGTTCTTCAATCCATCGATTTTCATCTCCGTCAGGCCTTAATTTTCCTTTGAAATCGTCGGAACAATTTCCCGTATTCCTCTTGTACTTTGACGCAGATACATCATCTCATTGATTACCTGATTTTCAGTAGATTTTCCTGAATAGCTTCGAAACTTTTGGCGAAGTGCCAGGTTCTTGAAGGTTTTACCACTAAAATATTTGAAACTTACTAGCCGTTTCTCTATTATTCGTTTTCCCCGTTATCGGCATATTTATCGAATGTGGTCGGACTTGAATAAGGCGGCTCGGCCTTATTCAGTAGTTGTGCGGTGGGGGCGATTTTCCCTTTGGAGCGCTAGCTCTCATTATTGTTTCGTATCACGTCGTGCACAATTGAGCAATTTGCATGCGTTGAGAGGCCGGATGCACTCGGCACCAGTGGCCCTAGCACCAGCAGTAGCGACAGCTCTCCTGCTTGCGCTCTTTCGGAGAATCGGTCTGTGAAAGCCTCAGCGAGTGCAGGGTCTCTATAAGCAAAGATGTTTGCAGCACTTGGCAACGGAGCAAATCTCTGACGACATATATTGTTTTTGAAATAAATTCAAGAAACCAGTGCTAATATGCTGCAGCTTATCGATAATGAGGGGCTACGTCGGAGCGTACCATCTTGAAAGCTATTGTGGGACATGAGTTATGATCATCGGAGAAACGGTGAACATTTGAGAACAATTATCTAGACTCACTAGAAGTAACACGGTTTTGACAAACCTGTCGCTCTGATCACTTCGCTTTTCTGAGGCTTCATTATATTGTTATTTATTGAGCAGGGTGGCCACGTTCCCGGGTATGATCAATGAGCTGTTTCTTCCTTTGTTCAACAGTTCTAGTTAAGCTTAGTCCTAAACTTTTATATTTCTCCGAAGCCTTGAAACGCGACATACTCAATGAGCAATTCGGCATGATTTTCTTTTTCTAGCGCAAAATAAGCCTTTAAAAACGGAAGCAGGTCAATATATCGACGGTACAAGTACTAAATAAGATCAGCAGTTGATGCGATACTAATCAATTTTATAGGGATCTAGCAATGTTTTGTTTGAGTCGAGCCGCATAATTTGAAGTGGGTCAGATCTCAGATTCTTATGGCTATAAATAGACTGCCCCCTGCAGAGGATGGTCGTAAAGATTGTCGGCCTCAACAGATCACATTTACAAGGAGGGTCTTTCAGGGAAAGCCGCGCTTTTTCAAACGGTTTCCTGCGGTTTCTTGCATATTGTAGGGAAGCATATAGGGAACACAAAACCATGTTCATTTTCGCTGAACGCTTATAGCAGTACCAAAAAAGAAGCATAAGGTACTGTTAATGGTTCGATCCCCCGTGGCGACTAAATTTTGCATTTGAGTTGGCGCCTACGGGTTGGTGCCAAATCGCGCTAAATATCAAAATCAGATGTGATGTTTATTTCTGTTATCGTCAGGACCATTTTGAAGCCAACAAGTGGCCGTCAACCTTGATTGCAAAATTTAGTCGCCGCGGGGATCGAACCATCAAGAGTATCATTCACACACGTTTTTGGGTACTACTAAAACCGTTCAGCGAAAACGAAACATGGTTTTATGGTCCATACACGCGTCCCTACAATATGCAATAAACCGTTTTCCAAAATGATGCCCTGATGCCCCCCTTTTTAGCTTCGCAAGCGAAAATGACGAAGCATTCTACACGTTCAAGAACTTTTTGAGCTCAAAAACGTGTGGTATGAGAAAGAATTTTTAAAACTTTCCAGATTTTCATCCTTCGAAAACAAGAGATTACAATTCAGTTGCTAGATTCTAAGGTAGACCCAATATGGTAAGTAACCAATATCATCAGTAATTCAGGAGAGTGGGTAGATTTACGTGAATGCAAAGCAAAGCTTAAGAGAAATTCTGGGGTAGGCGGATTTGCAAATCATGTGCTGTTTCTTCATCTCCAACTAAACTGAACGGCTTACCACTCAAAAGCTGTAACAGATCAAACTTCGAGTAAATGCTAGACGACTTACAACCGGATTGGATACAACTCAGAATTCGTACACCGACACGCGCTGCGGTTACCGACCAGTCCCTTTCCCTCTAACTCTTAACGTCTGTTACAGTCACCTATTGCATCCATTCCAACGTCCTTCCCTCTTCAGTGTTACTGTGGCTGATTGGAGAACTGACCCTTTAACGAGCTATCTTTTTTGAATTTTGTCTTTTGCGTGAGGTACGAGTTCTTTGAATCGTGGTAGCTGTCCGCTCTGTCGACCGTTGGAATACCTTTTACTGATTTCTAATCCAGAGCTTATGCAATTTGTTAGATGGAAACTAGTCGTTCAAACCCTTTCACATGGTTTTCATTAGGAGCTCTAACATGATTGCTTCGGAACACATAACGACTCAGACAGGTTTACTGGCCATCCAATATCTCTTCATCTATGGAACTGTTGACAGGGCCTTCTTATTCTCCTTGTTCCTTGATGTGGTGACGCTCTATTTTTTGCGTAGTTTTAGTTTTAGCACGTAATGGCTTGATTGAGCATTTTTGACGTACTTTCTCACCTTTAAAACCCTTGTTTGGTGTTAATTTGAAAGAAAACAAATTCAAAGTATATCGAAAGAAAAAACTCAAAAAGGCCCAATAAAGGGCGTGTTGTTGGGTTTCTGGAAACATCGTTAGGCGAGCATTCTTGCAGTGAACCCTGAAACCTTTCAAAATGATCGAAAAATGAAGTCGATCTCGATTTTTTCACTTGTTATTATGCTCTGCGAGGGAAATTATTTACTTCTATGTTCAGAAATTGATTAATAGTGTTGAAATAATATTTATTTCAATGCCTTTTTCATTCATGTCTAGATGTCGTCTTTCAGAGGGCGTG